CCAACTCCACACGCTCAGCTCACACATCTTTAACCACATCAAATGGTCAGACCAGACGTGCCCACCTGCTTCCAACAGCCAGTACAAGTGTTATGTGTTACTGAGCCTGTTTCTCACATAACCCCTGCCAGCCAGGCTCCCTCCACAGCCTCCTGGCAACACCGCTGCCTCCCAGCAGTCTCCCAGCAACCCTCCCTCCAGCACAGATGGGCTCCCCGTCCCTCCTCGCAGGCTAGCCAGCCTCCCCGAGCACCACGGGCTCCTAGGAGCCGGCAGCGGTTGATGAAACACAGAGCTCGGCCCTGCAGTGCCACGGAGATGGCTCCTAATATGGAAGAGGAGCAGGAGGATTGGCAAGAGCTTACATCCAAGGTCAAGGCTCGCATCATTTCCATTAAAAAGGAACACTCTCAAGCTCTGTGCAAGGATGGGAACAGCAAAAAATACACGGGAAAGCCACTGCCCTGTTTTATTCCCTGTTTCCAGCTCTCCCATCCAACTGGCAGTGCTTGAGATAGATGCTGAAGACGGGCAGCCCAAATCTTACAAACTGGAACAGCACTGGACAACCTGGTACTAAAGTGATGACTTGCATTTCTGCACAGTGCACCAGCTCTAAGTTTTATTTCCAGCCCTATCTCTTCTCATCTACATTTGTGTTTGCTGAAGCTCCTTTTACACACTATCAATGTGCTTTACAGGGTTTGTACTCTTTTTCTTCTTCAAGATGCTGAAGTTGCTGCGTTCCCATGATGAACTCAAAGATACCTTGTCAAAGTCATAACCAGCAGTGCCAACCATGCTGCCGCTGCCCACTGCAGAAGAGACATAGATGCACACTGGGAACCATGCACACTTCAGCTGGCACTATCACTTCTTCCAATTGTTGGCACTGAATTCACTGAGTATTTAAAGGGGGGAAAAGTAATCTCTATGAGCCAAACACCCAACTACAAGTAAAACTGAAAGCATTAACAGATTAAATCCACCCCTGAGAACTGAAGGTTCTCACCATAAGGTTCTTTATTAGGAAGTTAAGTCTTAACAAGTGGCTTAAGGGGTGGATAAAGCTTTTGCTGGGATAATCTGCCAGCATGTTGCCCAGTGCCAGTTCCAGGCCATGGGAAGAAGAAAGCAAAAAAACCTAAGAAGGTGAAAATCTTTGTTTGGCAAATAGATGTCCAGCAGCTGAGAGGTCCCCTCCTATCTTTGCCCCCTGAAGCTCCTTGCCATCTTCAGAAAGTCAAAGAAAAGTATTTTTGTACTCTGCTAGCTTCCTGAAAACAAAGACACATTGGGATTACACCTACATGCATGTGCTCATCCTAATCCTTTGTACCATCAACCTTCCAGAATTTGCCTCCATCACATTCATTTGAACTGTTTGCCAATTAACACAAGGTAATTAACACCTTCGTAAAGGACTGTCTTCAGACAATGCCTCCATGGTAAAAACACCATGATCCCAAGTACTACTGCTCTTTGCAAACACCAATTTACAAGAGAACATGCACAAGAGGAAGGTAGTAGAAGGTCAGAAGCTATGTTTTATTTATAATTCTCTCCTTTTCAAGCCTACCACTGATTTGCTGCATACTTAAGAAGCAGTCAGCAGTCTAATCAATGGCTACTTTTCCCCACAGCACTGTGCTGCTCTCCTGGCTCCTCACCCTTCTGCACTTACTGCAAGAGATCCGTTCTGCGTGCTGGCTGTGTTCGTGCTCTGCTCTCCATGCGGCTGCGTGCTTCCGTAGAGTGTCAGATTGTGCTCGCTGGTCTGGCCTGCATAGTCCTGAGTGTGTGGCACCCCATACTCTGTGGGAATCCCGTTCTGTGGGGGTGGCGGAAATGGGATTGTGGTGAATGGCTGCACCATTGCATCAGGAGTTGCTGCTGGCTCCTGGTTACCCTGAAGAGAAGGGAAAAGGAGAAAGCAGCTTTATACTACAGAAGATAAATCAAACCATCAGCATGAGAAATTACACACGCACAGGTGTTCATGTGAATATCCCACCCACTGCCACCATCATATTGCACAGTCTTCTATTATCTTCTCTATCAAAAAGAGCACGCCTTGCTCCTCTGAACCGTGACACTGTTTTCTTAATCTTTCTGGGCAACTTTCTCACTACTGGGTGGCACACAAAGAACAAATTATGGGGCTTGCAAATTGCATGCCCCTGTAATCTCACACAAGGCTTTACGCACAGTAAAGCAGCATTTTGGAAAGGGAAAAAGGCACTGACACATGGGAATAGAGATGGAAACACAGACAGAAGAACAGGGTTCTTTAATATCCCGAAAAGTATCATATCTGGGTCCGACTCCTCCAGCCTGACCCTCATGGTTCTGCTCACAAGCAAGTGCATTGTGTGGTTCAGAGCACGCTTCCCTGTTGTGTCACAGTAACAGAAAAGACAAATGCTTTTTAAAAAAGGAATGCTTTTTAGAACCCATCTGTGCAGCAGCCCCCTCCTTTGCTCCAGCAGCACCAAATACAGAGCACGGGTGCTCAGAAATATCCCATTTGCTTCTTGCTGGCCACACAGAAGACACCGAAAAGGTATGGAGAACTGAGTCAAGACTGCAAAGCTGGAGCACGCTCCCTCCCTCCCAGTCCTGAGCATCACTTACCATCACACAAGGCATTAATTAGCCACTCCTCCCCCAGCTTAGGCTACCCCACAGAGACCTCTACACTAGGACAGCGAACTTTTTAGCAGCTTTTAGCACTGCCTTAGCTGTAGTTGACACCAACCAGATGACTCAGAAGCAGGCAACTGACCATGCAAAATATATTCCTGAAAGACAATAAAAATGCTATCCCACCAGGCCTGAAAACCACCCAAAGCAAACACAAAAGCATGCAGCCACTGCAGGGATCTCACCAAGGCAGGAGCAGGGAGCTGCATTCATTCAGCCACCGGGGGCAAAGGAGAACAGCCTTGACATTGAAGCCCAGGCTGCTGCACCGCTCCTATTGCTTCCACTGCCGCAGCAGGGGAAGAGAAAATCCACGGAACAGATTTATGATAGGAGGGCTGCTTGATTTATGTGTGTGTCAACAGACTAATCCCGATTTTAAATTTTGGCTGCTGTTCCAGACCTGGGTCCTCCACCACAAAGCCCAGAGGTGCTCAGAGCCGATCCTGACACCAGCGTGCTTAAATCAATGGAGAAAAGCGGAGCAGACCTTGTCCCATGGATCGGAAAGGCAGGGTGGGAATCACCAAGCAGCCTGTCAGCAGAGAGTGTGCAGGGGCTGACGGACCTCCAGTGAAGACGGACAAACCTTTCAGTCCCTTTATCAGCCTACCTTCAGCTCTCCCTTCTGGGAGAAGGAAACAATGATAAATGCAGCGCACCTCCAGCCAGCACCAGGTCATCCAGACACTGGCTGAATCCCAAATTTGCTCTGACATTAGTCTATCTGGTCTGCCTCCCTTGGGGGCCACGTGGCCACATGCTCCCGCAGCTGGGGAGAAGGAGAGGGAAGGGCATTCAATACCACTTAGCAGAGCTGAGCTGCAGCCTTGGCCTGCACCCGGATGGACGGTGTCATTAACCAAAGTCCAGCCCTGCTGCCTGCAGGAACACAGAGCTCTGCAGCTTTATCGAAGAAAGAAGAATTGAGACAAGCACACCAGCCACAGCCAGCACTCGGGTCCTTGCACACACTGCCCCAGGCAGCTGCAGCTCTGCATCGCCTGCTAGCAGCTCTGCAGAGGCTTTCCACACAGCCAGCACGTCTCCTGAGAGCAGAATAGGGTGGAGGATTCCGCCCCCCCCGCCCCGAAAAGGAGGGCAGCTCCACTAGCCCTCTGCATCTGCTCCCTCCTTTCCCATTCTCAGCTCCAAAGCAAGGAGCTTCTGACTCGACCTAAACCATCCCCAAGATCCGCAGGGAGAGTCTGACAAACGGGAGGGAGGAGAGACTGAATGATGGTTATCCCAAACCAGGTATCAGCTACCACATCACTCCCCCACTCAGACTATTTATCCCCTGTCATGCTAATTCCACTCTGTCCACATACTCTTTTGCTTACAGTATTTAATTATATCCCACTGCCTGTGTACTGCTTAGCATCACGGAATAGAATCATAGAATAGTCTGGGTTAGAAGGGACCCTCAAAAGTCATCTAGTCCAACATCCCTGGCAATGAGCAGAGAGACACCTTTGACTAGATCAGGTTGCTTCCATACAGTCTTTCCATACCCTCTCCTTGTGTTTAAAATACAAGCTAAATACGAAGCTGATTTTTTTTTCAATTTAAATTTAGAAAATTGGCAGGGTAACTCCAGGAAAGATGCAGTAGCAGAAACTATTTCCAGTTTTCTTAGAACAAGTTAGATTCACAAGCAGTGGTACCCCAGATAGGAGGAAGAGAATGCTAATTAGCCATAAACAAAACCTATTCTGCTGTCCTCTCAGTGGTGCAGGGCTGCTCCCCAAAGGACAGACTCCAGTGTTTTGTTTCATCTCACTCTTAGACTACTTAAAATGCCAGCTCATCAACCTTATATAATCTTATTTTCAACATTTTTACTCCTCGGTTAATACTGCTCCTTCCAGTTTAAATGCATTTCAACCTTTTAAATATTTTCTCTCCCTTCTTCAATTATCTCCAAATGTTTGAAGGATGAAAAATGCTCTCTCTCACTTCTGTTGCTTGTGGCATTTTGATAATACATATTTATTTGAGCTTAATCACACCTTGCAAGCCAAAATATCCTGGTAACTTTATTACTTCTCTCTGACCTGCCTAAAATTTTCCAAGAAGGGATTTCTGGTGCAGAATGAAATTTTAATACCATTGTCACTCCCTCCCAATCACACTCACATGCAAAAGTCGTATCTTTTATTACAAATGTAGCCTTAATTTAATGTCTCAGGTTATCTGTAGATCTATCACCATTACGCTTGTTCAGGTTTCATACTCCCATGGAGTACCTCTATCTCGAATTATTTTTCTGGTGATATGATGATGTACACATTTCCCATCTGATTTTTTTTTTTTTTTTTGTAATTTTAATTTCCTTTGACACTTTAGAATTACTTTTTTCTCCTGTTTCCACTAGTGTCTACAGAAAAGGACTCCCGATGAGATCTCTGCAGGTTTCACGGCATACTGATATCCTCCAAACCCAGCGGAGATTCTACCTCCTATGTTATTCTTCCAAACTTCAACATTTACACAACACTTCATATTTTCAAGAACTAACACAGGAAAGAAAAAAATCTCATTTATCTTCAAATACAGAACCTGAACTCCTTTCAAAAACTAATCCACCAGGGAAAATCCTGCAGTCAGAAGCACTGCTTTTCCCACTTCTCGGGAGGTACAAAGAACAGGGAGAAACACCCCAAACTTCCTGGTAGAGGTACAGAGGTAGAACGAGAGATTCAACCGAAGGTATTTAGCCCATCCAATCTTGACAGCATACCCCACTGCACTGCCAGTCTTCCCTGGTTTAGCTCATGAAATTCTCTTAAGCATTTACTCAAATGCAACAACAGACCAAGATGGGTATGTGCAAGAGTAGTCACCATCCCCAAACACACACAAGTATGCCATCACAGGACCAGCAAAGCCCAGCTGCAGCTCCCCACGAGAACTATTGCCATGTTCACCTGTGATGGCACAAATCTTAACTAATTTTCAGGAGCAGCCAACCACAATGCAGGGTGGCTGGCATCTCCAGGAGGGGAGCTTGAGGGACATTGGCTGCAGGAATAATTTCATCAGATCCAAATTAACCAATTCTCTGCTATGCACAGACCATGCTAGCTGCCATCCCATGCTCGCCCAACTGGGAAAGCCTGTTCAGTGCAACTGGAACTCGCTGTGATTAACACACACTCAGTACAATATATGGTAATATATGGTTCAAAGAAAACCAGCAATTCCTATGTTTTCTACTCATTGTGCTGCTCTGCCCCCAACGGAAATCACTCATTCACATCAGGTGGGAATTCAAAGCAGCTCCCCTCTTTCCAAATGTTGACATCTGATTCAATAGCACCCCAGCCCTCAGGGCACAAGAGGGATGCCCATCTGGGCTCCCCTTTCAGGCCCCTAGTCTCAGCCCTACAAAGGTCCAGTCATGCCTTCACAGGTACCAATTTCCTTCCTTAAGTCGGTGTTTTGCCCACACAGGTCTGCACAAACCCATCCCACATTTTGTTTAAAAAACCAAATTAGTTAAACCAGTGAAGAATCCCTAATGGGGACACACTTAAGAGTTTACACAGCTTTAACTTAATTAACAAGCTCTGTAGCTCCAAGCTAAGCAGAGGAACAGTAAGTAACTGCATGTAGCAGTACCTTGCAGAAGGGTGGAAGCTGGGGACCACATCTCAACAAGGAGCAACGTGGTTCATTCAGCAAACGCGACACAGGATGAATTCTTCCAGCAGACAGCAGGTGGTGATCCAAGATCACGGCACTGGAGCACCAAGAGGGAACACCAGAAAGGCACACAAAGGCCTCCTACTTCCATAAAGCTGTCAGTCTATTTTGTGAAGGGCTGATTTTATTTTGATCGTTAGAGAAACGGGTGTAATTACAGGGATATGAAAGGAGCCTTATAGCAGTGCAACTCCAGATCCCTTCTGCACTGGTAGGCCACAATATGCAAAAATATTAAAGCATGACCAACTACATAGAAATTATAATCCTCGTGAAGCTGAACTGGTACAATTCCTGTGCAGACATTTCCACGCAAACTGCCACAAGGTCTGTGCTGTTCATAACCCTCCTGCAAGTCATGAGCATCACAGAAAGGTGAAAAGAAATGCTACAGCATGTAAACATCAAATGATCTCTTAAATATGCCTTTCAACTCTGGTAACCCCTAAATCATGGGGATAGATGTGAGTATATGCCTGTTAGTGGAATGGGGTTTCT